GCCCTTTTCAGCCGGCGGTGTGGTTTTCCTGCAGCTACTCGATGTGACTTAATGCCAGTGTGTGTCTGTGTGTGTGTTGGTGTCGGACAGAGTTGTGTGTTGCGCTGCAGCTCGGTAAACTGATCCTGGGTGAAGCACCTGCTGCCTCGTTTCCATCACGTTCTCTGGCAGCTCGTTACACAACTTTATAAACGGACCGCTCACATGATGGTGGCACACCTGGAGCACCACCACACGCTGAGCTCAGGTTCCTGTAGAACGTCCACAGTCGTGTCTCCTGCCTGCTCGTACAGCTGCCAGAACCAGAACCAGAACCTGTCCGTCATTTGGCTTCAACACAAATGAGCCTGTGATGACGTTCAGTGCTGATTATTCACGTGGTTCGGACTCATTTCTCCTCCAGCTGGAGGTGTGGTCGTTTCATCTGAACCAGCAGGTCGGTGATGTGGTTGGAAAGGCCTGAGAGCAGCGACGGATCAATGAGCCGAGTTCGATCGATCGTATTGATCAGAACAGAGATGATCTGCAGCTCAGAGCTTCATCAGTCTGACGTTCGGTCCGACAGAGAGACAGTAAAGAGACCAAGAGGTGAACAACGATGACAGGAAGAGGTTTTAAACCGGTTTAATAGATCATGATGAATGGAAGCGACCAGCTGGACTTAAACATCTGGATGATGATCTCTGCACACAAAGTTAAACTGAGCTCAGCAGTAAGCTGTGATGAAGCCTCTAATCAGAGGAACACCATGTGACCTGATGGAGGAACAAACAGTTCAAACCTCCCCTGAAACAAACTGTTTCTCAACCTGCTGACGAGTCGACCCGCTTCGTGGTTCTGTTCAGCTCCAACATGTTGGACAGGAAGCTGATTCAGCAGCCAGATATTCAAACCGACAAAATCATGCTGCTGCTGCAAAAGGACCAGGACACGAAACACAAAAACACAAAAACACAGAAACCCTGGAGACTCAAGGTCGCTGCAGGGAGGCGTAGCGGCGCTGTGGAGTGGACCAGAGAGACAGAACCACCACAAGGAGGCGCTAAACCACCACAGAGACACAAAACCACCACAAAGAGATGCAAAACCACCACAATCAGCAGTAAAATGGATGTTGTAGCTGCAGATGTTCCTGTGAGGTGGTTTCAGGTCTTCTAGTCGTCGTTATCTTTTACTTCTGATGTGTCGTTTTATTTTGTGTGTTTCAACCTCTTGGTCAGAAAAGTGTTTATTTGACCTTTAACTAAGCTGATGAAGTCCTGCTGGATGGAAACCAGCGGGTTCAGGCGCTGCTGACTGGACTTCTGTTGTCGGACCTTCAGGAAGGAAAGCTTCATGGGAGACGAGTCCTGACTTGTGCTGGTTGAAGACGAGCTTCTGGTCTCTAGTTTGGTGTCTGAGGATGTTTTCCTGTTTGTCTGAAGCTCCTCCGTTCAGTTCAGACCAGCAGCTGCCATAAAACATGACATGAGAACGTTCCTCCCACGTTCTCTGAGTTCCCCACAGCTCCACCAGGTTTCCTCTGGAGGCGCTAACGGAGCCAGCGTGGTCAGAGAGGAGGACCAGGACGCCTCGTGGGGCTTCGATGTCGCTCGCTTCTAATCTGAGGCTCTCTGAACACGAGACCTGGAGCTGCTGGACTGGGTTCAGACCTAAAATCAGTTTTATGGCCCAGCCCCGGTTAAAGTTCTGCAGCTGTTTCAGTCCGTCACAGAACCGACGGTCCTCAAACACATCCACATTATCTGCCTGATATCTGAGCTGCTGGAGGAACGCTCGCTTCATCCACTGCTGAGGGAACACTTCTTATTGCAGCTTCATCAGAGTTCTTCATCGTAGCTGAATCATCGAATAAGGTTTCAAACGTTAGCCTGAACTCACATGTACCTTTACTTTACTTTTATACGTCTCTCTAACCGTCTTTCTGAGAGAATGTCAGGATGTTTGGCTTCAGAATAAAAGCCTGTGAACATCCCGTCTGCTGCAGACGCTGAGGAGTGTGAAGGATTACCATCGAATCCATCGGCTCACCCTTCATGTGCAGCTGCATCGCTGCCAGAAACAGTCACTGGATGTCTGTGGTGGCAGCCACACTAACAGGTGTGAATACCAAGCGCTCCTCCTTCAGCTGCCAGAGGGTTCCTCCTCCACAGGAGTAGAACTGGATGAATGAACCACAGAAACTTCATCTGCAGCTGCTCAGCTCAACACCTGAGTCACTGACAGCCAATCACAGCGCAGCACTACGGAGTAAACACTGCCACTGTGTTTGTTAGAAACACCTGTTGGTCTCTGAGTGGGCGGAGTCACTGATCACCAACCAATTAGCCACAGTGTTAGCCTGAACGGGAAAACACTAGCCTCTATGTTAGCCTCATCAAGCTACTATGTTACCCTAATCTACGTAAAGCTGGACAATATGTTAGCTTAAACCACATAGCATTAGCCACAATGTTAGCCTTATCAAGATAGCATGATGAACAATGTTATGAGATGAGGAAACATTAGCCAGTATGGTAGCCTAATGAAGAAAAAATAGCTGCTATGCTAACCTAAACACAACAACAGTAGCTACCTACATTAGCCTAAACCACATAGCATTAGCCACCACGTAAACTTAATCAAGATATTAGGAACAACATTAGCTTTAACAAGAAATCATTTGTGGCTACATTAGCTTAATCAGGATAACATTAGCTACTCTATTTTAGGCTGGTGTTATTTTGGCTCGTCTGTTTGTTCTCTCCTCTGATTGGATGCCTCTTTCCTCACAGCTTTAACGACATGCTAACACGCTCGCTAACACGCTGTGTGTTTTGTGTTTGAGCAGAAGCTCCGTGATGCCGGTATCGAGGTGCCGGAGGGAGAGAAGAAGGGACCAGGAGTCCAGGAGGAGAACAAGACCCTGAAACAGGAGGTGAAGACCCTGAAGGAGGAGCTGGACACCACCAAGAAAGGTAACGGGAGCAGAACGTCTGAGGTGAAGGAGGCTCAGCAGGAGGTGAAACGTTTCTGAGCCTCTGTCGTCGTTTGTTTTTCAGCTCTGCAGAAGTCGGACAGCGACGTTCGTGCGATGAAGAAACAGGCGGAGAACCTGACGGTGGAGTACGACCGGCTGCTGGACGAACACAGCAAGCTGCTGGTAAGACGCTCAGATGGTTTCAGTGAGCTTAGACCAAACGTTCACCCTGAAACTGAGTCCAAACCACCAAGAAGACTCATTTATGTTACTGGGAAAACGAGCATATTGAGCAAAATACAACAGTGTCCTAAAACTCCACGTGTGCAGCTCGGAGGCTTCACATAGTTGAGATATTTCACTGCTTACATTCTTGTAGCCGCTACAAACTTTCTCTACGACTCTGCAGATTAAATAGCTGAAGATGTTTCACGGTGATGAATGTGTCCTCCAACAACTGGCTCCTCTGTTTGCTTCAACAGCAACCAGAACAACGGCACACAGTTAGATTCTGACTGAACAGTTACTATGGAAGCCGCTAACCTTATCTGTCTGTGCTAGCTGGAACAAGCTAATGTTAGCTATTATGTTAGCTTACACGTGATAAAATTGGCCACTATAATAGCCTGAACTAGATAATGTTGGCTTAAACAAGATAACTTTAGCCGCTGTGTTAGCTTCAGCCTGATAACATAAGTGGCTACATTGTCAAGATAACGCTAGCTGCTGCGTTAGCCTAAACAATATGAGGTTCGTTACAACTTTGGCCTAAATGAAATAAAATTACCACATTTATACCTAAGGCAAGATCGCTGTTAAATTAACAAGGTGACATTACTGGCTATGTTAGACTAAGACAATGCTAGCTAGCCTAAACAAATGTAACGTTAATGTTAACATTAGCCTTAACAATATCATTTTAACTGTTACGTTAGCTAACAAAGATTACTTTCGCACTTTAGCTATTACATAGGCTGCTTAAACAAGATTATTTTAGCCACTATGTTGAGACTAAACAAGATACCATTAGCCCGTAAGATACTGTTAGCCTAAAGATACTGTTAGCCTACACAAAAGATACTGTTAGCCTAAAGATACTGTTAGCCTACACAAAAGATACTGTTAGCCTAAAGATACTGTTAGCCTACACAAAAGATACTCTTAGCCTCATTAATGATACTGTTAGACTAATTAATGATGCTGTTAGCTTAAACAAAAGATACTGTTAGCCTTATTAATGATGCTGTTAGCCTACGTAGCGCCACACAATAAATGCAGAAACCGATTGTCAGAAACAGTCAGATGCGGGTGTGTGGTCCAGCCTCTGATGAGTTGATCTGTGTTGTGGTGGTTAACAGTTAAAGTCTGGTATTAATTAATCTACATATTAACATAATTAAATGTAGTGACAACCATAGCGGGGATTCTTTAGTTCCTGCTGCTGTCATTAAAGTGCATATTTGTGTATTTTCCATTTCACATTTGTGTACTTTCAGAATGACCAGTTTTTGTGTCACAACAAACATAATTCTTGGTTCTTCATCAGCTCGGAGGCTCCTCGGCTCTGGTTGTGTTATTTGTGTTGACGTTATATTTAGCTGCTGCTGCTGCTGCTGCTGTGTAACTGATCAGTGAACGAGCAGCTGGTCGGCTTTAAATCACTCAGACACACCCAGCTCACAGTTATGCAACACAACTAGAAACACACACACCTGTACGTGCTTTGGTAGCTTCCGGTTTGTGTCAGCCGGTTGTGTTTCCCATTGAGACATTTATATCACTGAGCTGCTGCGTTTAATTATCATCATCCGGCAGCTTCACGTTCTTCTACATCTGCAGAACACGAGCGACAGCACAGCAACACGACACCTTCGTCAATCACAGGAGTCTGACAGACGAGGCTCTCATTAGTCTGCATTGATGTGAAGTTTCAGGGCCACAGATCTGAGAGATAAACGGCTTCCAGAGGTTGTTCAACCCCCAGCGCTGTGCAGGACGCAGGAGAGACCTCATGTTATCAACCAAACCTGAAATATGAGCTCCAGCTAGCAACCTGCAGCAACGACTTCAATCTAAACGCCGCCCTGATTTATGACAGAAGCTGCTGCAAGATACCGTTAGCCACCATGTTAACTCCGTTACTACAACACAAGCTGCTACATTAGCCTGTTAACATTAGCGGCTATGCTAGCTTAAACAAAGTAACATAAGCTGCCACAATAATGCAAAAAAGTTAGCCGCTACATTTGCTGAAACAAAAGACATAGGCTGCTGCATAACCTCAGCAACCATGTTTGCTTTATCATAATAGCATAAGCTGCTAAATTAACAAGTTAAAATTAGCCGCTATGTTAGTCTATTCAAAGTAACAAGCCGCTACATTAACATGGTAACAATAGCCGCTATGTTAGCCTAAACAAAGTAACATAAGCTGCTACATAAACATTCTAGCATTGGCAGCTTTGTTAACCAAGACAAAGCTACGTAGCCTAAATTATCTCAAATTAGCTGTTACATCTGTCAAAACAATCTAATGCTAGCTGTTACATTATCCAAACAAGATAACTTTAGGTACTATATCAGTCTAAGCGAGCTAATGTTAGCTGCAGTGTTAGCTGAAACAAGATAACAATAGCTTTAGCAAATTAACGTTAGCGTTAACGTGATAATATTAGCCACTGTGTTGGTTTTAATGGGAAAGAAAACAATTAGCTTTAGCGTTAGCCGTTATTGCCCTGCTGACTGTCTGCAGGTTTGAGTGTTTACTTCCCTGTTGCTTGTCTGCAGGCGAGCAGCGACAAGAAGTCGGACTGAGGACGACGGCGGCTTCNAACACACACACAGTAACACACACACAGTAACACACACACACACACACAGTAACACAGCAAAACATATCATGAAAATTGTCCTACAAAAAATAGGAACAAAATGACTGAAAATATTAATTAAATTTCCTAAAAATTTGAACTAAATGCCTGAAAAAAGTCCTACAAATAAAAATGTAAACATAACTTCTGCTCAGCAGAAACACGGCGTCCTGAAATTATGTTAAATAATAATTAATGTGTCAAATGTGAAGAAATTAAAAACCAGGAAACACTTCTTTTCTCCCTAAACTTTTATTCTGGACATCTCGTTCATACTTTTCTTTCCGGTAGACGTTCCTCCGGTTGGTTTTAACCCAAACCCTTCGTCGGTGCCGTTTGGACCCTGTTGGTCTGAACCAGAATAAACCCGCTGATCTAAATCCAGAGGAACTTTACAGCCACATGGAAAGAATGAGCAGCTGACCGTCTGTAAATCCTGCAGCCGCCGCCCGATTGGACCGACGGCTCACAGGTGTGAATGTGTCCCGCTCCCCGATTGGCCGATTCCTCGCGCAGAGCGGCTTGAATCCGATTGGCCGCGGAGTTCGGTGACACGGCGTCTTGCTATTGGTCGACGGCTTGTTGTCGGGCTGAAGATCGAACCGATCAGCCGTAAAACGCAGCTTTTAGACGGGTTCTAGAACAGCCGTTAGATTTAATGAATAAACAGAAATAATAATAATAACAATAACAACAACAATAAGTTTGTTTGTGTAGCATCTCTACGAGCTACAAAGTGCTCTGACAGGTAGACCACAGGTGAACACCAGGACAGGACAACAGGTAGAAACTATAGGAAGTGAATGAAAACACAGAACGGACAGGAAGTTAGAACGACGTCAAAGATTTAAAATAAATAAATAATTGATTGATTGGTTCCAGTCGGGGATCCAGAATAATTAATACGATCTGGATTCAGTGCAACGCTTCCAGAACGAGTCCTGAACCAGAACTCTGTCCGTCACTAACGTTTTTAGTTCTAAACCGTCTCCCTGAGAGTCATGTGACCGACGGACCTCACAGCTGATTGGTCCGGGTGAAGGTAAACAGAGTCCTGGTTGGGCCCGGTGGCGCCTGCAGGGGGCGACGGCGGCGTGGACGTGCAGCAGCTGCTCGGTGACTCGTCGCATCATGTGACGCAGCAGCTGCTGTGACACAGAGCTCCAGCGTTTAGACCGAGCCGGCTCTGCTGTGAGTCAGGAGTTCCCACGTCGGCCGCCAAGAAGAAGCAGAAGCAGAAGAAGACGTGGAGGAACGGCGGCGGCAGCTGCTGGGATTATTTCAGGCTGTCAAGTAGCTGCCGGCCATATTAGGAGCTGAGAGGACTTCCTTTATTCCTCCGTGTTCAGGTCACGTCTGCTGCAGCAAATACAACTCGTTCACGTGAATTCAGCTCCCAGCGCGGATCAATCCGCCGCTGAAAGTAGTCCCCAACAAACACAGCCCAGTCCACCGCACAGTGTAGAAACCAGGTGTTACTCCCAACGTTGTCTCAGTGTTTCTGCAACGTTCCGTTAGTTTGTTCCACAGTTTGAAGACGTTTAATTAATGTTCTTCACATATTTATGACGATTTAGTTTAATGAAGTGTTTTGCATTTTAGGAAAATGTTTTTCTCAAATATTCAGACCTGATGTTTGTGTTTTTCTTACATTTTTATTTTATTTTAATTTACTGACATTTTAGTGATTTTTCTTTTTATAGAAGCTTTAATATATTTTCACATTTTCCAGACATTTGTTAAAACTTTTCTGATAATTTATAGTTTTTTTTCCCACATTTCTCTGAATTTATCATTTTAAAAACATTTTTCTGTCATTTGTTGTTTTCATACATTCATCTATAAACAATTTAAATCTTATTTTTCAGACATTGTGAATGTATGTTTTCATTTTTTCAGTTAGAAATCTCATTTCTATTCATATATTTGCTGTTTGTTACACTTTCAGACACTTGACTTGTTTTTTTTTCACAGTTTTCTGATATATTTATTAACATTTTCACACACTTTTCTGATGGCGTTTTCCGTCTCAAAGAGCAGATCTAAACATGTCAGTAGAGTCGGGTCTGTCATGGTGTGGATTGTTCTGCAGCTGGTTCTGGTGGAGTCGCTCTGGAGCAGCTGCAGCTCAGACAGTAGCAGGAAGCAGCATCTGCCCGGCCCGTTTAGCTCCAGCTCCGCTCGCTCTATGTTTGGACGTTCTGTCTTTTGCGCTCTGAAAATAGCTGCAGAAGCCCGTCGAACACAATCGGACCTGCAGCGAGTCACGGCGTCCCTGAACGCATCGCCGAGCACATATTTACGACGGGCACATGGCGGTGAACTCATCGCCACGAGAGAGCCAGGCGGTAAATTTACCTCCGACGGTCTGAGGAGGCAGGAAGGCAGTTTTATGTGGAGCTGAGTTCAGCGGCTTCACCTGAAGAAAGCAGCAGAAAGAACAGAGATGAAAGTGAAAGACATGCTGCAGATCAGACAGTAATATGAATCCCAGTCCAACATGAAGCTAATCATGAGCTGGAGCCTGAAGAACACCTGAAAATATGAGACATTAACTTTAGAAATCGATGTCATTTAACGAGACAGCGTGCTTCAAATAAAAACAACTTTTGATGATGAAAGTTTAAATGTCTTAAAATGAGCAAAAACAACAATAAAGCCCAAATGAAGCCCTTTGGTTTGACAGTTATGTGCTAGTTTTCACATGTTTTGGGTTTTGTAGCGACACAGTTTGACATTTAAACTGTATTTAGTGCCCCTTGTGTCAGACAAACAGATTATATATTATATTATATTATTCTTTAATATTCGTGTAGTGCAGATGTAACGACAGTAACCAAGACGTTACTGGTTTACAGTAGACCTGCTAACTGCCCCTTTAACCCCACCGCCCCCTCACTGCCAGGAATGGGGGCAGTTATTCTGCTAAGCCGCCCTTCTAGTTGCCCCGCGCTGCCCCGCCCCCCGATACGAGTCACCATTACATCACCGCCTGTCAGCGCTACACACTGCACGGAGGACACGCACACACATGGAAATGTCAGAGGTGGCCGAGTTTTACTGTACGGGCCTCACCGAGGACCTGGACCGGAACCTGGACCAGGACCTTATCTNTGTGTTTTTGAGCAACAGGTTTACGGTTCGACAGCGTTTTTCTCAAATCATTCCGTTCGCTTTTCCGCAGAGGAAGTGAATCATGTCTTCTGCAAGAAACGCTTCATTCCAAAATACAGACATTTGCACGTTGTGGGTTTGAAATCAGATCCTGAGTCATAACTGTCGCTCCCACTGCGATCACTTTGTTCGATCAGAATGAAAACTGCTCTGTCTCTGGGATTTGTTTGGTTTTAAATGTTTGCTGTAGGTTTGAAGCTGCTTCACGTCTGCAGGCGTCGTAAACAAACGGTGAAACAGAAGCTTTAAAGAGGAAGCAGCCGCAGAGGAAGCAGCAGTCTTCAGTTTACTCGTCTTCAGTGTTCACAGTGTTGTTGTGTTTGATGGTAATAAACAGGTGACTTGAACCCGTCGGCTGTGAAAGTAGTTTCATTTCATGGGAACCGTACTGCTGCCTGGTGAATGTCACTTTAAAGTTTGTTTTGTTTCTGTCTTCCTTTACTCTCGTGTTCATCTTTCAGTGTGAAGCGGTTTTTTTTATTGTATTATTCAGCTTTTGTTTAGTTCCATCAGTCTCCTGGTAGCAGAAACAAACAAACTGTTGTCATTTCATTAGAAAAGTCCTGAGAACACATCGGTCAGCACCAACACCACCTACCGCTAGCAATACGTCAGATCAACGGGTTTCAGCAGAATTTATTGTTTATTGAAAAAACCGAACGGCAGATTTTACATCCTGACACACTGAATTCAATTCAATTTTATTTGTAAAGCGCATATTTACAACAACAAGTCATCTCATAGCGCTTCACAAAGGCAGAAACAGAAACACCCAACAATCCAAAACATGTGGAAGAGCTGCCAGTGTTGGAAAATATCTGTTTTAGCCTGAACAAGTTAACGCTAGCCGCCATGTTAGCCTAAATAAGATGACATAACCTAATATTAACCACTGTGTTAGCTTAAAGAAGGTAGCGGGTGCTACATTAGCCTAAGATAACATCAGCTGTTCTGTCCACCTTAACATAACATTGACTACTATGCTAACACGAACAAGGTAACGTCAGCTGCTACCTTAGCTTAGCATGTCT